TTCTTACAAATAATAAAAACACTCAGTGGAATTTCAATTGAACCCTAAAGGTGGATCCTTCCATTAATATACTTAACACATTTTTGAATATGATGACTATTCCATAAGTGGAGAGACTTTGTCACTCTTTGACTATGGGATTATTTCATATTTACTACCTCCTATACATATATTACAAATTAAATTACATCATCTTGAATTTATGTGAATTCATTTCATAGTACTTTACTATGAGAATATTTCACAGTACTTTACATCAACAGTGTGGGACACCGAGCTAGGCAGAAGAGGGGTAGAGGGAAGATGACCAAAGGCAGTCAAAGGACACGATTTAAAGAAGGAAGAGTTGTGCAGCAGAGGGATTTGAGCCCTATTTTTTTACCAACAGAACGCTGTTCAAATTGCTTATGTGGTGAATGAGAACTGATTGGAGGAATTGAGCCTTAGTCTGAGTACACTAGCAGGGGAATGGATTGACTATTGCTACACTGTGACATCTTAACTATTTGAAGCACGCTAGGGTTTATTTTGCAATTTGACACTGAATTATTCAATGTGTTTATATAGTAACACTTAATCACGAGAAAAATAGAATTTTTTTCCGGCTGGAATTGAGTCTATCTTGCAGTTATGTAAATTGAATGAAAATAAGTCACGTAATGTGTTTCAGAAAAAATCATTTTCTGCCACACTGAAATCATGGTGTGAAAATAGCTTCATAGAAGAATTTTCCGAACAGACATTTTTGCTATCAGGATCTTCAATAATTCAGTATAACTGTACTTATTATGCAGTGAATGCAATCTTGCATGGAACCAATTACGATGATTACAGTAGAACTCATTGATAGGCACTCCTATAAAATTTATAAGTTACATCTTCATTGCTAACTTTGTGCCCTTTATGTATAGGCGAACATATTATACATAATTATGTTCAGTCCCTTATGCATATTAAAATGCCACGACCATGTATTCTAGTTATATCTAATTTTGCAGTAATACTTTTGCAAGACACTTCAATGATTCCTGAAAAATACACATTTCCTTTCATTTTCAATCTCTTGATCACGTTTTTGCTTATTCTTTATCCCCTTTATATTTTTGCATTTTACTCCTTCTTGACATAATTTGTTTTATCCTCTTGCTCACATGTACATTATTTGGAATATCTTCTCATTCCCCATTATGTACTATTTTGCATGCCTTCTTACATTCTCCCTACTTCTGAACACCTTCTAATTCCCTGCCATGTATTTGCTCAGACACTTCTTTCTTTTTTTTTCACATGATATCAATCAGCCACTCTCATTTATTATTCTGTAATGCAATCTTTTACACACTCATTTCTCAGTCAGTATATGCTTTCTAGACTACACCCAGCTTACCAAACAGTAATTACAACAACTTTCAGAAATGATGGTAAGCTGTCCCTTATTTCTAACTGCTTCCAATTCAGCATTGCGTTCCAGACTGGAAATAATGCATAGTCTCGGATTTATTTGTGTGTGCCTCCACAAATATTTTTACAAGATTGTAGCTTTTCTAAAACCTCATTCTATTCTTTTGTGGGCAGGAGTGGAGGGGAGATGGAGGTAAGCTGGATATTCTTGGAGCTAAATTGGCTGGGCCCGAAATAGGCATGTCTCAAAACTTATTTGATCCTGCTTTCGGTCATCTTTGCCCTCCCAACCATCCTTAGCTCCTACCCCAAGCTTAGGTGCCCATGCAGCATTGCCAAGCACTTTAAGACATGCAGCAATATTGCAGTGCTCGAGTTGATGGACCTAAGAGTCAATGTACAGATAACAAAATTTCAAGGTATTGAATCATTTTTTAATATTTGTAAAATTGTATTTTGAGCAAATGACTGTTGTGCTAAACTATTCAGTGTTTTCGATGTTTTAGATACCTGTGAGAAAGTATTAAACTGCAAATGATTAATTACTTCAAAACTTGTGATAAATATGAATATACAACAATTTAAAGTTTAAAGCTACAGAAAAATATTTGATTGCCCATTCCTTACCTCTCATGTTTCTTAACTTCTGACCATTGCATTTATGCTAATGTAATCATGAAAGTTGCCCTTCAGTTTTAATACTCAAACTTACACACTAAGTAAAAATAAATTAAGATGCCACCAGGTTAAGTTTTCCATAAATTACATTAAGTTGTAATAAAATGGCTGATGAAAAACAGCATGGTATAATTTATCATTAAAATGGGTTGACATTCTAAACCTAGGCAGTAAAGAATTGGAAGAAGGCTTGAGAATGAGAAATTCAGCATGTGTTTTAAATAATGTTTTCAAAAGCTAACTAGTTCAGGATACTCTACAGCTTGTGTAAAAGTACAACAAGCAGAGCGGTAGTGCAGTCAAGCCTGGATATGATGAAAGTAGTAGTTTTGAGCGCCTTGGGACATCCTCCCGACGTGAAAGGGGCTATACAAATGTAATCTTGTTGTTGTAAACTGCTTATTTTCTTGTAATAATAATGTACTTAGACAAAACTAGGTAACAAGGTATATGAACAACCACAACAACAGCAAATCGCATTTATATATGTGATGTAGATTTGAATCTAACCTAGACTAGTTGAGATGAAATTGATGTTTATGACGGCTGCAGGATATTCTAAGGCTAAATTAGCATCTCACTCAGCTGACAAAAAAAACATTGTTTTGCAAAACTAACGGTTATCGCATTGAACATAAAATTCCAGAATTACACTAAGAATAACTAAAAAAAATACACTGTGTTACTGCTGATTCACTCACTTTTGTCTTACAAATGCCGACATAAATTACGACGATGGAGGGATTTGAAAATGAGAAAGAGAGAACAAGGATCTTGAATTTGATCCGCAGCGGGATGGTGGTAATAGACAGGTGCGGGAGAGACATGGGCTGCAGTTCAGGATACTCTACAGCTTGTGTAAGAGTATAACAAGCAGAGCGTTAGTGTAGTCAAGCCTGGATGTGATGAAAGCATGGTTGAGGATCTCAGTGGCTGGGGAAGAGATAGGGGCAGAGGTGGGAAATGATATGGAAATGTTTATCTCACCTCCTGATTGTATCAGCACCTGATTGGGAGGTTAAAAGATACCTCCACTGATTCATTGCTCAAAAAATCAAATCATGTTCAGGCAGCATGTGAAATCCAACACTCAAAGCCGTTTTCCTCCACTCACTTGTTTATCAATCTGACACACTAGAAAATCTTAATACTGTAAATCTCAACTTCAAAACCAAATTGCAGGGACATGCTGCCAGAATTCTTCATACCACCGTGTTATCAAGTGCTCTATCAAAGTATATATTTAAGCATTTTATGTCAAAGTCCAACTTGTGAACAGAAAGTTCATTTTACACTTGGTTGTGTATCATGCATCATAGCCTGCTTCAATTAAGGTAAAATTGGACTGATTGTGATGCAGAACAATCTGGGATATTCATGAACCATCCTAGATATGTAAAAATATCAGAAATGTTGGTGTGGTTAAAGGAGGAATATTTAAATTGGGTTAGTTATTTCGTTGATATTCAATTGGCCTTGTGATAGCAATTAAAGCTCTGGGTTGGGTATCATTGCTGTTTTTTTATTCCACAGGCTATAGTGAGTGTTAACTGGATCTTTTCTCAGGATCTTTGAGATATTGAAAAGTTGATGTCGATCCAAAAAAATTCTGTTTCTTTGTAACCTTTCACTTAACTCCAAAGAATTCCCCTGAATAATGCCATGTTGATTTGTGCCTGAGGCATTTTAATGTCTTTGCAGACCCAGAATGCAATCTTTTTTTTCAAATTGAATACAGCCTGAGTAATACACAAGATGGAACAATATTCTGTTGTTTTAAAAAAAATCCAACTAAGTAGATATGGTCTCCAAAAGAAAGAAACCATCAAAGGGAAATCATTTTTTCAAGGTGGGCAAATGAATAGCACCATGAGCGCTGCCAATTGGGCATTAGTTTCTGTGAGGAGTTGAACGTACGATAATGATGCAAAACCAAATAAAATGGTTTATCTGTGCTGTCAATCATATTTTGGCTCATTGTTTGTCATACTACTTGGCCCTGAATTTTTTAACTGTATTATTTGTATTTTAAGGACCTAAAGGTCAAACATTACCTCTAGTTAGATTAGATTCTACAGTGGATCTTTCATTGTATTTTGCCACATTTATGTATTGTTATTTATGTATTTATGTATTGGTTAATGAGGACCATTTCCTACATCATAATTTGTCACTGCGTTTAATTTGACCATTAATATGGTGAATGCAATTTGGTTGCAAGTCCTGGTCATTAACAATTGAGATGAACAACATTGAAGACATCCTGAAGAGCCAAGAATAAATAATCTATTAAGTGGTTATGGCATTGAATTTAGCAACAGTTCCTCAACAAGTGAATAGGAAGGTCTTAAGTTTATTATCACAGTTATTTACAAAAGCAATGTCACGTGTATTGCCTACAGCACCAAAACACTTTTGAGCATAAACATTAGCTTATAATGATGCCAGCACTCTGCATTAATGTTTATATTTTTTCCTGCTGCAAGTAAGAAAACAGATGTTATCAATTCTCCTGTCGTAAAAGGTCTAAATGAAACACATGTTGCCATTTGGATCCACGCAGAATTGGGTTCAACTCCAGTGTCTCTTACTGTCGAGTCATCTGCTGGCTTAACTCAGTTTGAAGAATGACCACAAAATAAGAGGGGGTATCCCATCCCTGTGAAAATGTACAGTATAAGCTGAATAAACATAAGTTGTCGCTTTCAGAAAAGAAACCAAGACAATCCAAACACAATATTTTTTTAAATACTAGTTACTGAAGTGAACCTTTGCCTCAGCAGTTTAGTTAGCTCTGTACTGTAGTCCTGACCCAACTGTCCAGCGCCTTGGGACGTCCTCCCGACGTAAAAGGCACTCTATAAATGGAATCTTGTTGTTGTTGTTGTCTAATAGTCCATTGTTTTTGATATAATGAACAGACAGAGGAGCTCCTCAATGAGATCAAAGAGCTGCAGGAAGAGATGAAAAGGAAGGATGAGATGATTACACAGCTTCAACAGAAACTGGTAAGTCTGACAATAAACTTGAGACTTAGTTCGGATCTATTCAATTACCACTGAATAGGGGAGACCAATAGCTGTAAAGAACACTACATGATTTGGTGGGCACCTGTTTTTAAAATAATCCTCACAATTTAATTGATGAAATCAGAGCCAATTGACCACTAGCATTTCTGTGACCATTCTTGCAAAGATAATTTATGATAACTTATTTGTGAGTCTTTCAGGGCTGATATTTCCCTCTCCCCTCCAACCTTCCCTACACACTCCATATAATTACTTTTAGATCTCTGTTTAGCTGCATTATACGGGTTCGGATGGACACATTAGTTCCAGTTCGAAATGTGTCTTTTTTATTTTGTATACTCATACAGTAAATTTGTCAGGTCAATCATTTGATATTTCTTCAAAGTTTTATAGGAATATACAATGCATCTTCAAGTCAGGAAAGGTAAACCAGTCTGACTGGTGATTCAAGACTTTGTTCCAACATAGTCAGATTTTACTGTGGGGAGAGGAAGAAAGAAATCACAAAAATAAGTGAATTATACTCGACAAAAACTTATTTCATTCCCATAGCCGTTCATTTTTCTTCCTCCACAAATTAGTTTCCATCCTTAAATGCCATTGAAAGTCAGAATTTTAATAGAGGTGGAAAGATTTCATATGATCCTTGTATAAACCATATTGATCAGTGGTGCAACAATCATGTTCAATTGTAAGATCTTTCAGAAGAATTGCTTTAGTTCTATGAACAATATTTGAACTGAAAATATGATATTCCTTAGGAAAAATACATCAATTTAGATAAACATTAAATGACTCAATTAATAGTTGAGTGTGAAAGAACAGACTGTAAATAAGGAAATGCTTCCATTATTTATTGATGTGCTGGAATTTGGCTCAAGAAGTTGGTTACAAGGAGGACTGAAACTGAAAACCTGTTTTTTTAATCAATCTCTTATGTTCACTCTAGCCGAAATATTTGTACTTTACAAAGTTCAGATTTTGTAAAATAATTCAAATGACAGAAATTATCATCTTTGTATTGGTGTTGGTAAAATGGGTAATAACTAAGGTTGTCTGGGCCATAAATCCAAATAAAAGCTAATTGATGGCCTACAAAATACATTCACTGCACTGTGTAATAAACTCTGTGAAGTGCTTTGAGACGTTCTCTGACATGAAAGTCACTTTATCAAATGCAAGGATTATTATTATTTATTATAATTGGGCAACCAGAGAACGGAAACATTTTAAAACATAACTTCTACCATCTCTCACCTCAGCAAATGATGGCAGATACAAGTACTGTACATATTACTTCATCCTTTGAGGGGCTAGATAGAACGAAAGCTTACTGCTGTACTTCATAACATGATTTATATCTACCGGGAGGATTGTTTGTTAAGGGAATGAGATAACCATTGCTTTTCACTACATGGACTATAATCAGCACTTCAGATGTCCAGATATACAACAACTAAGAGTGTTCAGGCAAAAAATGTTTCTCTTGGTTGTGAAGCATTTCCTTGTTATGTTCTGGAAGTAGCTTTCATTGGTAATTCTTGTCTGTAGCTGTGGGGGTTTAGAAACAGATTTCACTGTTTAATGATGTCTGGTTTCAGTACATTCAAAAAACATTTGCTAGGGTTTAACATAAAATGTGTGAATCAAACTAGATTTATTGCAGTGATTATGGAATGCATTCCTGTGTAAATGTTGCATTTTCCTACCTATTGTGTAACAGTTCTGACTTGTCAAATAAATTACCAGAGTGATAATGAAGAGACGCAATGCAAAGGATTGTTTTTTTCACATTTTAAGAGCAGGAAGGACAGATTTAACCATATCTTACTTCAGGTATGAAGGCAATAAAGTGTAACAACCTATTTATTTATAAAATGATCAGTATTGTCTGGGGAGAATTTGTGTGGAAGTGAGACACCAGTTGTTTTTCACTGTGGAATCTGAGCTGTCCAGATATCAACTGGAATTGGTAGTAAAGCAATTGATTGTTCAGTCATTCAGTAACATGTAGATGGTAGTTTTCTCATCAATTTTTATCCACCAAATTTTTATTTTCCCCTCAAGAGGGGGAGAGAAAATTAGTGGATAAAAGTTGGCTTTACCTTCCCTTTCACTGGGGTAATAATAAATAATATAAATTGGTCATTTTCAATCTACGACTGTTTGTGAGATATCACTGTGCGCAATTGGTTGCTGCGTTCGCCCACAAATATACAGTCAATTCACTTTACAGTGTGTTCTGTGAAGCGCTTTGGGACGTCCTCCCGACGTGAAAAGCACTATATCAAATGCAAGGATTATTATTATTATTATTATTAGATTTCCTTCACTGGTCAACCACCTAACACAGTAGTGGTTAAGCAATGATATCTCACCTTACTCAATACAAACAGACAGTATCTGGATATCATGGATGCTTCTCTGCATAAATAAAATCAGTGTAAAATTAGTGCAAATTCTTGCCTCTAAGAGCTTGTGGATTCAAGCCCTATGTCGGGACTTTGAACTCACAATCTACACTAACATTCCAATGCGATATAGGAGGAGTATTGCATTATCAGAGGTTAAGTCATTCAAATGAGATATTCATCTTTTGTTAAGATAGACGTTAAACAATAACAACAAGATTACATTTGTACAGCGTGTTTCACATTGGGAGGACGTCCCAAGGTGCTGGACAGCGTACAGCATTTCAGACCCGAGCTGGGGTCAGGGGAGAGAAGGGAGGGGAGGTGGCCGATGGCATGGTCGAAGAGGAGGATTTTGAGGTGGGACTTGAAGGAGGCTAAGGAGGGGGTGAGGCGGAGTGATTGGGGGACGGAGTTCCAGCGGTTAGGGGCAGAGTGGCTGAAGGCTCTCCTGCCAATGGTTGGCTTGGGGGATGTGGAGCAGGCCGGAGCCGACTGAGCGGAGGGAGCAGGCGGGTTGGTAAAGGGTTAGGAGGTCACAGAGATAGAGTGGGGCAAGACCATTGAGGATTTTGTAGATGAGGACCAGAATTTTGAACTGGATACTCTGAAGGATAGGGAGCCAATGGAGTCGGGCTAGAATGGGGGAGATGGGATCACGGAGTTTGGTGCGGGAGGATACGGGCTGCAGAGTTCTGGATTATCTGCAGCCTGTGGAGGGAGGAGTTGGGAAGGCCGACAAGCAGGGTGTTTGCATAGTCAAGCCTGGAGGTGATGAAGGCAGGAACAAGAGTTCAGCAGCGTGAGGGTCGAACAAGACACCCAGGTTCCTGACTGGCTGGTGAGTTGAAGTGTGCAACCATGGAGGTTGATGCTGCCAGAGCCTGAGGTGCTGAGGCACTGGCACGAGCCAATCAGGAGGGCCTCAGTTTTGTTCACATCCACTGTAGGAAGTTTGCCCTCACCCAGGACTTGATGTCCGACAGGCAGTCTGTCAGGACAGCATTGTTCCTGGAGTTCAGGGTGGAGGCAGAAAGATAGAGTTGGGTGTCATCCGCATACATGTGGAAGTTGACCCCATGTCTGCAGATGATTTCACCAAGGGGGAGCATGTAGATATTAAAGAGGGCCAAGGACAAAGCCCTGGGGGACATCAGACGTGACAGTGCGGGGGCTGGAGGAGAAACCGTTAGATCCCATGGCACTATTCAAAAAGAGAATAGAGGTTCTTCCAGTGTCCTGGTCAACAACTGCATAAATAAAATTGGTCATTTGCTTCATGGCTTTTGATGGGATATTGCCATGCACAAATTGATTCCTGTGTTTTCCTACAAATACACAGTCACGACACTTCACTGTAAAATCCTGTGGAGCGCTTTGAAACACCTTAATGATGCAATAATGAACTATAGCAAATATATGTATTGTTATTATTATAATCCACCAGTGATAACTCTTACTCTATTTTTTCAGAATTTAAAACTTTAAAGATTAATGTGCTCAATCTTCCAGTCAATTGCCTTCAAGATCCAACCAAGCTTTTTGACATTGAGAGAAAACTTTCAGTAAATAATCAATAATCACGCCCAACTCCTTTTCCTTCTCCACTGCTGCAAATAGTCACCCCTTTAATGTGTACATATTTCTTATTTTTGATCAAATATGAATTGTGTTGTATCTATCGACATTAAAATCCATTTGCCATTCTTTGGTTCATCTGCTCAATTGGATCACTTTTTATACAATATTTATCTTCCTTATATTAATTACCTTCCTAAAAAACTTAGTATCAACAACAAATTCTGAAGGTCTCTCTTAAGTAATTTATGAATAGTGTTAACAGCAAGGGACACAGAACAGACCTTCAGAACAGACACAGAACAGACCTTCGCCTTTGTGACGTTCTGCTAATCATTGTTCCTCAGCTGCACCTTTTTCAATTTATCATCACCTTCTGTTTCCTCACCATGAAAACTAAAAGTTCCTTCCTTTTAATTATCAGTACTGTAAAATGCAATAATGATGCAAGCCAAAACTGTACTGTTGTGTGTGTGTTTGTGTGCTTTTTTTTGTGCGCAGGCAAGTGTTGTATAACTAAAAAAAAAGGGTCTCTTCAGTACCAGGTTCTAAGTAAAGCATGAAATATTGCATTTAACCAGTTTGTGACCAGGGCTCAATGTTATGTGCAGGATGTTTCCATTTGAACAATAAAAATTACCCTACTTTGAGTTGGGATTACTCAAAATAACTTGGTACTTTATCTAATAACTTGAGAAAGCCACTAAAATTCAGTCAACTGCTGCAAGCAGCTCATAAGATTCAAATTCACCCAACGTAGGCAAGCATACCCAAGACCCATCCAACTGAGGCACACAAGCCCAATTAAGATCAAAACCGTAATTCAAATTCATACTGTTAAATCAAATGAATTAGTGGAGCAAATAGTTAAGCATTCTATCTTCTGACTTCTCTAATGACCAGCTCCTTAGACTAGCACTATCAGTTTGGAATTGGAACTGAAGTCATTGTACCTTTACTTATTCACTATCTGATTACAGTTTGTTATTT